TTCTCTGGATATGATCAGTGGGTTTCCGTCTTGGATTTCTGGAATCTTCCTGACTGGATCTGCATTGCTGACCTCAAATCGAGCATAGAATGAATTTAGCTCATCAGAAAGAGAGGCAGACTGTTGTGCGATATAGCTGGGTTGCGTTTTGTAGTCTGTAATGGTGCATATACTGTACCACTCCACATGGTCCGTTTGTTGCAGCCGTGATAATATGACTCTAGTTTTACCCTGTAGTTGTATTTAGCTCTTTTGATGGCTTTCCTGAGGTCGTATCTGGATCTGTTTGCTCTGTAGGCAATTTGCTATGGGTCCAAGTGCATGTTAAAAAATTGACTATGAGTCACTCAAACAACCTTCATAATAGCTGATGTCAAGGCTACTGGTCTGTTGTCACTGAGGCAGCTCACAGTGGTTAAAGTTATTGAGATGATATTTCGCAGTAAATTGAAGAATTATATGGAGTAGTCAACATGAATTAAGAAAATGAAGGTCTTGCTTAACTAATTTGTTACATTTGTTTGAACAATAGTAATGGATACAAACAATTTAACATATAGTGTACATGTATTTAGATTTTCAGAAAGTTTTTCATAAAGTTTCTCATTAAAGATAAAATTTCAATTTATGAACTGGTTAATACAGTATGTACAAAATAACCATGTGCTGAATGCTCAAAGTGGTGTGATGTAATTAGTCCAGAAATCTGTGTTTTGAAAATAAAAAAGATAAATCTACATTAGGACCACTGCTGCTCTTGAATATATCGGTGATCTTCCTTCTGCTATTTTTAGGAAAATAATCAAGCTTGCTTATAATATGAATATTAATGAACACTGTAAAACAAAAGCAAAGGCAATTCAACAAGATAACAGAAGAATTCGAGACTGGGCAAACACCTGGCAGATAACATTTAATGAAGGCAAATGTTATAATGTTACATGCACATTGTAAAAGGTAAATTATACATTTTAGATAGGAAACACCCCTTATGAAGTTACTTATGAAGAAGAGTTAGATGTTTATGTTGACACACCATTTACATTTTCTAGAAAATGTGGAGTAGCATTGAAAAAAGCAAACAATGTTCAGATATATACTGAGCATCCAAATAAATCCATCATTTATGACCTCAAAACTTACACAATGGTAACTGTAAAACAATGTTTTTGTAGCAGTTGCACTGACATTTTTTTAACTAATATGACATGGCTAAATGCATTATAATGATTAACATTTGCCATCAACCATGTCAATCAATGGGGACCCGCAGTCACAGCCTAGTAGGCTGTGTGATGATCAAAGTAAACTGAACATTTGCAACCAATTTCACTAGAATACACGCACTGTCTTGTGGGATTCTCTCATCCCCTCTAGAGCTTGCACAAACTTGTGCCTCTTCCTAGATGCTACATCTCATGCCAACACATCCTACAGAATGTCTGTGGGACTTTAGTCTAGCAAGTACAGTACAGCATTCATGGCATACCTCAGATTCTCGTCTTGGAGGGTAACCATTGTTACATTTGCAGTATGAGAACATTAGTTGTCCTGCTGGAATGTTGTCATGTCAGGATAAGCCCACAGGAGGGAAAGGTTTGATTCCAGGACTTGATCAATGTGCTGTACAGTAGTGCTGTGTTGTGTCATCTTCTGTAGCATCTGGACATTCCTGCCTAGACCATCACAATTTCACAAAGACATTTATTGCATATCAGCATATTGTTTAGCCCATCATAATTTTTAATCTACTTTCCCACTAAGAAGGTGAGTTAGTGCCTATGCAACACTCACTTCATTGTATCACAGATAGTCGTAAATGCTCAATTTATGAAAATGACACGAAAACATTTAATCAATGTCCAAAAAGTGGTATACTTAATTTTTATGGGCACACACATGCACACAAATAAGGTAATGTTGCATAAATACTGTACTATTTAAATCAAGGTGTTGTTATATTAAAATTGCTCTATGCACATATAAATTCTGATTTAAAATAATACTGCTGTGGAATCAGTCCAGAGAAGAGCAATCTGATACATTCTTGAGCTTACATAAGTTTTTAAAACTGACCTAATAGAGTCTTGAACAGAGAAGAGTATGAGGAGTGTTGATTCTGTGAATTCATTGCAAATCCTCAAAAGCACCAACTCCACCAAGTCAACACAATAGGTTTCTTTACTAAAACATGAACCCATAGGACGCAAATGGAAAGGAAGTAGAAATACATTTGTAAATGCGAAAAAGACTTTGCTTTCATGAAACAGCTAGTGCTTCTGGAAAAACTGTTCCATATTGAAGGTGATACGAGTACCTCCTGTAGATTTTTTTAAGAAGCTAGCAACCAAAAGCTAGAAAACCTTAATGGCCTTCTCTTATTTGTTACCTTTATGTTCTTAAAAACATTGCTTTGTTAAATCTTGTATGAATTTTCAAACAGATATGAACATGAATTTTGCTTCTTAAAACTCAGCATTCCTTTAGGGCTTTTCGCATGATGCAGTTCATAAAATAAAATTCAAGACGTGTAATTACTTTTACCTGTCATTTGACTGAGGAGTACATAAGGAATTGTTTCTTTTTAAACCATGGTGTTGTTTTTCCATATAGACTTGGAACCCTTCAAGCTGCAGACCAGAAGTACTGTTTCAGTTCGTGAAGGTCAAGGTGTAGTGCTGCTGTGTGGACCACCAGCCCATTCTGGAGGTAGGAGATTTTTCAGACCCCAAATTGATCTTGACTGTCAGCTGTAAGAGTGCAGTACACTATATACTATAGGCCAGATGAATTGGCCAAGGATTAGAATTCCATCTTGCGTATTTTCCCTGACAATGAGAATTAAAGTTTTTTTTCCATGCGTTTCAATGTGTGTAAGCATGATGAGTACAGAAGCCCATGATCCCACACAGAGACGAAAAGCAGGAGAGCTTTACCCTCCTGCCCTCTGCTGATACGTGGTAATCCGAGCCTGCTGCTTCTCCAGACATGTAGTTTTATGAAGTATTTTACACAGCTTTAGGAGGAACTACATTTTTATCCTGCGCTTTTGATTTTAAAAAACGTTTTTGCAGTTGAAAGGAGGGTAATGCTGGGAGGTTTCAGCATGTTTTTCCTCCTCTTACAGTTTCTCACTCATGGGGTTTTATGCACTTTTTTGTCCCAATCGTCTTGTAACTGTAATTTATCTTTCTGTACTATTGTGGAGGTTGCTTGGCTGCAAAGTTCTCTGCCTGTCACCATGCATGAATTGTCCTAATCTGCCCCTTGAGGATGTCTTTGTGTGTCCTTATAACCTGCCTCCTTGTTACTCACAGGCTCCGTTAGGTTGTTTTTGGGATATTACAAACAACAATTTTGTTTCACATTATGCACACTCACAGACATGTAGTCATTGTTCTAATACATGGTGTCCCCTTAATAATTCCATTCTGGGGCTGTTCATTCATTTCTCTTCTACCTAACTATTGTCAGTGTGATTTGTTTAATAAATTAAATACATTAGGCACAGACATACTGTACTGTATGTTTGTACGATGGTTTCAAATAAGATTCTATATCCTTTACTTGATTATAGAATTTCTGTGGCTTTTGCCTCCACATACACTTCACTTTTTGTTCTGTGTGTGTACACAGTGCAGAAGAAGTATCATTTTTTTTTTGTTTTCCCATAATGCAGTTTTTAAGGTGTACATTTTAGCAGGCCCTGGATAAGGCAATACAATGGTTTTCAGACAGCTATTTCCATGAATTTTAGAATTTATATAATACACAGTTTATGGAAGTGCCAGGAAAAAGAAAGAACACACAGTGAGAAAATTTGTCACGCACAGTGCTTTTACTTACTTATGAGCAGCTTTCGATGGAAAAGCTTATCTCCCTGCACAAGAAAAGCTCCACTTAAGGAGGCTAAGCTCCTTGCTTCCTCCTAAACTTACTCCTCCCCACCTGCTTCTAAAGAGTGCTCTGGAACTTTATTTTATGGAGTATAGAGAGGAGAAAATAATATTCATATATCTGTCAGAGTCAGATATATGAATATCTGAGTCTCTGGCTTTTGCAATATTATGGAGAGGTGAAAAAGTCCTATTTTGCTGTGTGCTCTTGTCACGAACGAAATCCGTGTCAGATCTTGTAGAAGACCCTATGCGATGCGGTAAGAGCTGGAGAAAACAGGAGGCGTGGTAAAAAGGAACACACAGGGGTTTAATAGTGCACAAATATATAATAGTGACAGTCCGTGAGACAGTGTACGGGGAAGACAAAATGGCATCCAAATCCAAACGGGTCCAAGGGCAGGCCAAAGCACAGTCTGAGAGTCCATCAACTAGAAATCCCTCCTGGGACGCGACAAAGTTCAAATCCCCGGGAGGGGGGAGCACACGGACAAACGAAACATGGAGGTCCAAGGGTGACGGGGCGAGATCCTCCAGACCCCGGGCTCAGGAAGCGGGAGGTGTCGGGGATGAGGCCTATGCCCTCAGGAGACGGACGTAGGGTTTCCTGGTGCTAGGCGGGCCTCACGACATCTTCTCCCCGAGGAGCTGGTCTTTAAATTATAACACTAAAAGGGTACACCTGGAGAGCTTAATCACACGAACAATAATGGGAGCAGTGGAGCGCCCTCTAGGGAGGGATGTCGGGTGTGACAGCTCTACTGGAATGAAATATTGTAAAATTAACAGAATTTTCATAATTCATACACATCTTTACATGCTTTCTATACTTTTTACAGAATTACAAAGTAACATAATTTTGTGTTAGTGAAGTTCATACTTCATGTTCTAAAAATAATTCAGGTGAACCAGCCTACATTTCATACACCTTGATTCTTTTCTTAGTCTCTTCTTAAATTTCATGATTATCTGGTTTTAAAAATGAGTAGAGGTATGTCTGGGGAAAAATTTTAAAGTAGTAATAATATGTTGCGAAAAAAATTAGTGATGGCTGAAATGTTCCATAGTCTCACCACTATAGCTTTGCAAAATGTAGAAGACAATTCTATCTTGCTTTTTTTAAGTATGTCTTAACCTTCTATCTAAATATGCGGTTTAATAGACTAGTTTTAAACATATTGTTTCTTTTTTACACTAAGACAATGTGGTATTTGTTTCTCTCTGAAATGCTAATTTTATACAGTAGATTGTGCCAGGTGGTTTTTAACTAACTTGGGTTAAATCTTGTTAAACTTTTAGTCTTGAAGATAACACCTGAAGCAATGTTTGTTGCTTTTGTAAGACTTTTTGCAATTCACAGTATTTAAAAAAAAGAATTTGTTTTTATATGAATGATAAAATATGGTAAAGGATAATAAATTCAGAGAAATATAAACTAATGGCGATATAAAAAGATATTGCAAATATTTTCAAAATAAATAAAACAGGTGAGCTCACTGCCTTCATCTACCAGATCTTAAAAAACCTTCTCAAAAGACAAAAAAGATTGTCTTTTTGTTATAGCCACATGGTCCTATAGGGACAATAGTAACACAGTACCAAATGTCAGCTGAAACAATTTCAGTCCTGTCTTGTCACTTAGCTGATGATGTTTTCTCTTGGCACATAATCACGAGTGATGACTACATTTATTTTAGGAAGCTGTTAAACACCCATGTTACCGCATGTCACTCTATAACCTTTTCACAGATGTAATATATTCATTTAATTTCCCTGTGGTGGAAAATAAAGTAGGCTTACAGTTGCAAGGGGAAATTAGCAATCAAAATGGGCTGTAACACAATCTGTGTCTCTTACCCTTGTGTAATTTTTTTTTACCCACAAGCTTAGTGGGCTACATGTCCAATGCAGATTTTTCATTTGTCACCAGAAGCACATTTCATACATTCAAAAAGCTCCCTTGTCATTTTCTTTACTTTGGTAAATCGTGAATAGTTGAAATTTTAATTCAAATCTTACACAAGTCATTTAAATGCTTTTTTGATCAGTACGCCAAGTAATACCATATGGATCTATGTGACTTTTAAGGATTAATTAGCTTAGAAAATCCAGTTTTTGTGTTTTGTGTGTCATAATCCCACACCACCCCTTGCAAGCCCTTATAATTGCCAGTTGTGTATGGGATCTTGTGGTCCCTTTAAGACTGTTAAAAGCACAGGATCAAACAGACAAAGTGAAGTCTTTAAGTTACATTCTTCAGTACAGCCAGACTGAAAGTAGGGTATTTGGGAAAGGGGGAATCATATTGTTTCTTATTGTTTTTATTTGGGAAAGGGGGAATCATATTGTTTCTTATTGTTTTTATTTTGTAGTATTTTGTACCAAGTTTGTTTGTTTTAAATCAGTCATGGAGGTAACTGTGTAGAAATGGATTTTCTAAATGTGGCTGTACTTGTGAAAGTAAACATTACAAGGACAAGCTTGGAGCCACTGTTTATGATTTTGGTGGATTATATCAATATGAAATTCGACATTTACTCGCTTTTGTCCTGTCATTTAAAAAAAAATGCCAGAGAGTTCCTAAGATGAATACACCAAATTCACAACCGTCATCTAATTTATCCTTCCTTCTCCCAAAGGTTAAGTAACATGTTTATAGGTGTGGTACCCATTACATTTGGATGGGGAAAAGATGAAGAAGACAACCTGAAAAACAAACTCTAGTTTACCTGTCAAGGAACCTTGAAACATATGAGAAGTAATTATGTCCCTGTTCTGATAAATGTCTGAATTTTTCCACAGCAGTAACTGTCCTACTGCACTTTTGCAGTACACCAGTTGTGGAATGAATTATTGCAGTTATTTTGTAGCAGAACTTGTTCGGTGACAATTTACTGTTCTCATGCAGCAATTTAGTAAAAGTTGCTTTTCATGGGGCTTTTACCCTTCACCGCAGTGACTCCTTAATGTGTCAGATGTTTGTAACAGCATGGAGCCTTTGTATATCCTGTTAGTTTTATCACATCAGATTCTAGATGCAGAGTAATGAGGTAGGAAGAAAGAACTACATTTTCATTTTCACAGAGGAAAGAAAAAAATACATTTTCATTTTAGACTTCCAGGCAGTTGCTAGGAAATACAGTGGCTTAGGCATTATTTGTTCAATACAGTATGTGGTGGGAGTGTTATATAAATACACACAAAGATAACAGTAGACAATTAAAAAGCACACATCCTTTTTAAAGTTTCTTATATGCATAAGAATGCAAGTGATCTACAGTATACATTTTCTATACATGTGGGGCCTCCAATGGCTCTTGACCAACATGGCAGCATATGATAGAAATAGGATACTTTTACACTCAGCTTACACTTTGTTTTTCCAAATAGTTTACTTTTGGTTTAGGGTAGTTTTTGTAGCATTAAGGAAGACAGGAATCTGCTTCTTACCACACAGATGGAAATCACAGACATGGTTAATCCCCTTGATTTCTCAATGGGGCTACTACCATGGGTCTCTGATGCACATCTTCACTGCAGCAATATTTTATTGTGGATCGCCTCTGAAATCTGAAATCTTTGCTGACATTAAAGCTGTCCATGCCACTCAGGGCACCATCTAGCCTCACCTTCAGTTGTTGGGAGGACAGACTCCTGCTGCTCTCCCATCAGTTGACAAACAAAGTAAGCAACACTAGCATTGAAACAGTATTGTAGTGTCAGAGAAGTAGGTAACCGAAGTCTGACAGGTTCCCCTCAACTGGTAGTGTGGTATCAGAGAATCTACACAAACTTTTTTTTTCAGAGGGAAAT